TACGCGAAACTTACGCGCTAAATCCTGTACAGGAACCAACTTTTTGGGTTTGTCCTTGCTTGCACTTCGGATGGACGGTGCTGCGAGACACTGCACATAGTGTTAGCTGAAAGCCGGCTTCGCACTACTACTAGCAATAGCAATAGTAGTGGTAATAATACTAGTACTAGTACTCGTAGTAGTAATAGTACTAGCACTAGTACTAGCACTAGTACTAGTACTAGTACTAGTAATAGTAACAGTATCAGTATCAGTATCAGTATCAGTATCAGTAATAGTAATAGTAATAATAATGGCAATAGTAATCGGAATAGTAATACTAATAGCAATAGTAACAAGAAGAATAGTAGTAATAGTAATAGTAATAGTAATAGTAATAGTAATAGTAATAGCAATAGCAATAGCAATAGCAATAGCAATAGCAATAGCAATAGTAATAGTAACAGGAATAAGGATAGGAATAGTAGTAGTAGTAGTAGTAGTAATCATAGTAGTGGTAGCAGTAATAGAAGTCCTAATACGGCAGGTAGGCTAAACAAATAACTTTCGCAGNNGCTCTAGATCAACTACCATATATATATATATAGATATATATATATATATAGATATAGTACCACTACAATGTGCAATCATTTTAATATAACATAATATACTACCATACCATACCATACCCTACCCTACCCCACCATACCATACCATACTATACCACACCAGCCATACCATACCATGCCATGCCATGCCATGCCATACAACGTCATGAAATTTAGCAAATCAGTATGGTATACACGGACTTTAAATATCGTCTAGTATATTATTATGCAGTTCTACTTCTGCCGCCGTTATTTTTTGCCACACTGCGCCTGTGCAATGCTCAGAGGCGCACCGACCGTAACTATCAAGTCCTCTTTCCCGAGCGGCAGGACTGCGAAGAACGGCCCTGCATTGCGGAAAGAAGAGTGCTTATGGTCCCATGGCCCTATAGCGCTGCTCTGCCTTCGAGAAACTCATCATCCGGAGGCTTGGCACCTTCCAGAAAGAAGCTCAGAGACAAAAGCTGTGCCCTGCTTTTTGCAGTGTGACAAACCCACCTGGCATCAACTGGCCCTCCACTAGCTCAGGAGGATCTTCCACTGGTGCCACCATAGCCTGTCTCTGCTTTACATACCGGAGCAGTTCATGCACTCTTAAGGTGAAGCAGTCCACACATCTCAGTGTCGCAAAAAAACACAAAGACCGCATCCCACAACACTTTCGTTGCCAACGGCCTTTAGCAAAGGTCGGCCATCTCGCATAGAGTACTTGACGTAGCCTGCGCATCGCAGCGCAGAACATGATTAAACCCCCACCCCGCTTCCCCTCCCCTTGCGTCAGTTGTGCCGAGCTCCCAGCCGGTGGCTGCATCACCACCCGGCTCCGTCGGTGGCACGAGCACAGTCGCAATGCCTCCGACTTGCACGTGCTTCCAGTGCACTGACTCCCGCATCTGCAACTGTCGTTGGAACTGACCAGTCGAGACTTACCTGTCGTGTCATCGAACATCTGCGTAACGATGAGTCGCCCCTTCTCCTCAGCCACATCTCAGGGTCTGGTGATTGGTGATTTCAGGAGGCACGAACCTACGCAAAGGCCGGAAACTGTCGGCGAGTGTCCCAGCGAGCGATGGGTTCGCCGGACAAGCCGGAATCCGCATAGACCTCGCAGCCGAAGGCCGTGGCAGCGAGTGAGCAACACTGGTGCGTCGATGGGCATCTATATGCAACAGGATCACATCACGGAAACTTTGCAAATCGGATGGCACATCAGTCAGGGCTCCCTGCGTTCATGCACCAGTCGTCTTGCTTCTGAATTTCCAGAGCTTCTGGATCAATACCTGATGCTCGAGAAGTGCTATGTTGAAACGATCCGGTGAACAGACGCCTTCCCGACAACGCATTCTTACAGATGCCTGAAACTGCAGATGACAGCATGTGTTCAGATCTATGTTCCGCAGAGTCGCAACACAGATCCCAGCTTCTGTTCAAGAGGAGGTCGTCCAGTCCTCCAGTTCGTATGACCTGTGCTACAGCCGAGAATAGCGCATTCAAATGTGCCGCACGGCAGGCAAGCCCGTGTGTCTGGAGCGAGAATGCCACAGCAGATACACCCTCCTGGCAAGTTGGAATACTGCAACGGGCCATTCGATGCCTCATTCACACCCCAGGTCGTTCGGCCGTTGACAGGAGAGACCTTACTCACAACCGTTGGCACAGACTGTGTAGATAGACATTGCTGCAGCTGAGGGCAAAACGTAGAGAGGGCGGTTCCACACTGGATCCATGATCTGGCGCCAGCCACCTTGTTCAATCTGGCTGCGTGCTTTGAGCTTCTCAGTTCTTCCAACAGGCCGCATGCATTCAAATCCCTCCAGGCTGAGCTCCCAGCCAACTACCGTCTCGCGCTGCTCTTGCCTGTCGATATAAAAATTTTCCAGCACCGGGAAGAAGCCTCTAACTGCCATCGGGCTGCCGAGAGGGAGGGCCAACGAATTGGAAGGCGAGCTTCCTTGGATCCCGAAGCGGAGCCAAGGAACATCAAGGAACCAACGGAGAACGCTTTGACTCTTTGAGATTCCAAGGTTCGGCAGCTGCAACTCTTGGCCGCTGGAGCGACGGCTGCCCCTGACAGCGACATGGGCACTCAGGAGATTGATACCTGGTCTTCTGACGGCTAGCTTCTGATACACTTCCACCGCAAGTCCGTATCACGTGCTTTCCCTCCCGCCGTTCGCTGCGAGCCCATGATCACTACCCTGCACCAGAGCCCACTGCATTACACTTCAACTCAAGACTCATCCGTGACATTCCACGACTGTGTCCAACAAATCATGCCGCATCACGTTTCAAGGCTTGCCACAAGCGTGCCTTGAAGTACGTCGCGAGCCTCTCCTGGTTTGAGGTAGTCTCACACTTGTGACTTGAGGACAACTAGGTAACTAGGATGATGAGGATGAAAGCAATGATGGGGGACGGCACAGCAGGAACAACCACCAGGACACCAGAAGCCCGTCCTTGAGGGGAGCTTGGATCCGCTCCTGTCAAGGGACGAGCAGTTGCTGCTGAAGGTGCTGTCTTTATGAAGGCAGCTGGGATCCCTGTCCTCGACGGAAGCTTCGATCCACTCCTCTCAAGCAACTATGGAGGTATTGCTGCTATTGCCGCTCTTTGCTGTTGATGTGCTAGCTGCTTGTCTTACACGATTACCCGTAGAAGTCAGCATTAACCATGTATTGTCATCATTTCCCTAGTCCACTCTTGCATGCTGCTGCTGCTGTGCTACTTCTGTTTATCTTGTCTTGCTATTCCTGCTACAACTTCTTCATACGAACGATGCTCAACGCTGCCCCGGCATCTCACAGCGGCTCCTGACGCTCACCTTGGAGCCCGACCTCAAACAGGCCAACTGCTATACCGAATTGCATACTAGATAACAAGGGAAGTAGAAGAACAACAGCATGCGGGTTAAGGCGCAAGGCTTGCACTACAGCAATGCTATGATGTAATGCCAACCATCATGAAACTACGTACTGTGACTGCGTAGTTTTTTGGTAGCACGAGTCATTGCCATCACAGCCACGAGTTCATGACTTACATCGGTATTACAATGCCAGCCTGCATGATGATATTGATGATGTTGATGATGGTTTGTATCAGGCTTGAAACTAGCATGATGACTATGCCTATGCTTCCTCAGCACTGATTTTCCCATGATTAGTATCCGCATTTTTGCGGTCATGGCTATGACTCTTCAGTCTGGTTGAGAAGGGAAGAGAAGCCGAGCCCCAGGCCTTGATGGAAGCTTCGATCCGGCCCTGCACCGAAAGCAGGGGCGATTTTGAGCCCACTTTAGAATGTAGGTGTAAGGATTTGATTTTTGGGTTCCCGGAGCTGAAGGCACCTGGAAGTCCTGGACTCCGTCCTGAAGCAGTCGGACTTCATCTGAAGCACAGGACTTCTCTGGTGTCCTGGAGTCGCCCGCCAACTCTTCCTGGAGCTTCTCGAGGGCTTCGATCGCCTGAACTAAAAACTAGCGTTCAAAGTCCATGAAATGTGTTGCCAAGGACTACTCCTGCAACAGGCCACCGGTATTCCTGTGCCTGCCTCGTGAGGAGACATGCCGGCTGCCTCCAATTCCTGTCGGCGTTGCATGGCACGACTCTGTCACAGCCTACTGACTACTGACAAGTGAGCAACCATGCTCTATGGAAAGTCTCATGCAGCTGCGTGCTCACACATAAACGCACAGAGAGACATTGTAGCGCACCCAATGCGCCACAGAAACAGTATGTATACATTTGACAGGCCATCCCTGTGACGCTCGACCCCTGTTTAACTGCGAGGAAGCTGCGAGCGTCCAAAAGCAACAACTGTCACGAGGATGGTGGCCCGCAACACACCCGATCTGAGACAGTTTACGCCCATCACTTGCGACGAATATAGAAGGTCAAGGAGCGACGTCTGTCACACGAGCGAGCTTCTATACACTCGATGCTCGTCACGAGTGGCATCCGTTCTGCATCCTCAGAGAACATTTGAGAGTCTAGGAAACAACGACATGTTGTGATGATAGAGGCTCCCACACTCCGGCTTGAAAAAAGAGCAACGACAACAAGCGTGTATCTACACTAACCACAACCACGCGGCAGAATCACCGAGGGGAGCGGTCACCCCACGGGCAGGGGCGGGAAGAGGGGTTCTGTGTAGCAAAAAAGGAATTGCAGCAGTGCGTAGGCATGCACAACATGTATGCAAGAATTGTATGTATGTATGTATGTATGTATGTATGTATGTACGTATGTATGTATGTATGTATGTATCTATGTATCTATGTATGTATGTATGTATGTGCGTGTACATATATATGCACGCATACAGGGAGGGAGGGAGACAGAGAGAGACAGAGAGAGATAGAGAGAGGGAGAAGGAGGAGAGAGAGAGACAGAGAGCGCGAAAGCGAGAGCGAGAGCGAGAGAGAGAGCGAGCGAGAGAGAGAGAGAGAGAGAGAGAGAGAGAGAGACCTGTATGCACCTGCACACACACACACACACCCGCACACGCAAGCGGATCCAACTGGATCTCCATTAGACAAAGCCTGTCTATTGTCAGCGGAGCATGCCAAGCCTTAAGATGCTCTTGAAGTTCGCGTTGTATGATCTGGTTGGTGGTCTCCTGTCTCACAGCTGTCCAAAAACTTGGCCAGTTGCCGGTACGTTCAATAACCAGGAACCATTGCACGACAGGCCTTTCAGGCATACATCTCGAGATGGCTGATGTCCAGTTAAGTTGGCCATGCTCGCACCATGAAGCACAACTGAAGAAGCTGCGTGGTGACTCGATTAGACACATGCATCTACGTTCTAAACTCCTCCAGCACGCGACGCAGGGTTGGGGAGCCGTCAAGTCGGACGAATGAGATCCACCCATCCACCAGATCTTGCTCATCCTCATGTGCTATTTCTCGAAGCTCGAACCGAAGGTGACGACTGACTTGGACCGCTGTCAGTGCTTCTGATTCTACGAGCTCAAACCTGTCCTCGTGGATCCACCCAACCAGCGCACGGGTGCCCTCAATCAAGTTCAGCCCAATCGAAGCGCCCACCTTCCTGAAAAGGTTACAGCACAGGTAAGGATGCCAATCGAAGCGTCGCTAACCAGCCACTGCCGAGCCACAGCCACCCCAACGGCTCGCTGCGAGGGTCCCGGCCCTGCGGAAGGTTCGAGTCATGTTCCGTTGGCTGTAGTTCAGGGAGAGTTCTGCAGTTTGGGTATAGTCTACCAGGAGTGCAAGGAAATGACTCGATGGTCAAAACGCAACAAGCAGATTCCGGTGCCAAGCTGTACCAAGACCATGCCCAGAGGCCTCCGTGACAAGGAGAGCATCTCCCTCCTCCAAGGGTTAGGCTCTGTAAGAACACGAGGGTATGATGGGGTATGGCAGGATAAGTTATGGCGCCATGGTCATGACATGTTGACCCCGGCTCCTCAGGGCCTTCTGTTCCAGACACTGGCTCGAGAACCACCCTTGCCCAGCAGGAACGTGCCGCACACCGCGAGCTAGCAAAGAGTTGAGTCGGCTTAGCCGCTAGAAGCCAAGGAGCCAAACGGGCGTGACCACCGCATTCATTCCGGCCACGTCGTCTGTGCGCATGCGGGCTGGAAGCCGCTGTAAGTAGCGCGTGCCATCCTTCCACAATAGAATCGCCAAAGCCGAAGGACCGAACTGAAGAGGACAGAAAAAGCTACGAGATACGGGTAACGGTTGCAGCGCCTGCGGGGGCCATCGGTACTTTGCGAAGCCCAGCTTTGCCACGCCGTCTTCCGCAGGAAGGAGAATCTCCACGATCCCTGCAGGCGCAGGAAGAATGCCCGCGGCAGCTTCCGTTCATTGGGATTCCTTGAAGACTCGGGGCTCCCGCTACGAACGGGCCTGGCTTTGGCATGCCCACACTCGTCACCACGGTTCCCGGCTTGAGCACTTCAATCCTTGTGGACACAGGCAATTGCAAGACATCGTCATGAGAGCTTCTATGCAGTCGGGTGTCGGCTGGCCCGTCATCTCCACGGTGCTGAAGATGTTGTATCTGTAGCCCGGATCCTCGTACTCCTGAACCATACCGTCAACGTTGCTAGCTGCTAGACCGGTTCCAACTGGAACGCGCACCCAGGAAGCGTTCATTCAGCGATTCAGCAACAAGCAAACACCTGCCGTTCTGTTTGTGCTTGTTCGAAACAGCCACTACGCTGGGCGATACACATCTTTGCGAAAGCGACTCCTCCAGTTTCTCAGGAATCACGGTGAACAAGGTCCATTCGCCTTGGCCAAAAAACACCCAGATCCGACATGAACTCGTCCGAGCCTGGGCCTTGCCGGGCCCGGCACCGAGCAAGAGAAACTCTTCCAAAGCGTTGAGGCGCAGAACTTCCTTAGGGAAGGGCCCGTTATAAGCATGGCATGAAAGAAGAATGCTGGGCTGAGATCGGAAGAGGCTCTTCCGCCTTCACTTGAGGCTTCCAGGTAATCGGACGAGTCTCAACCAAGCTCCAGCTTGTAAGATTCATGTTCACAAGGTTCCAGTATCCTCGGAAAAAAATCCACACAGACAACCGCAGGACGATGCAAGCTCCATTGGTGTCAGTTTGTTCAGTGAATCGCCAGGCCAGGATTCTCCGGCCACTGATCGGATCCCGACACTCTCGCCAGCCTCCTGGGGAGCATTGTCGGGACTCACCATGCGCATCAAAGCAAGCATCGGAGGTCTGGCGAAGTCGTGAAGCGAAGCTCTGCAAGGGACAGGCCTGACACTGGAATGTCATAATAAAGCCGGTAGGGGTCGTAACCTCGGCAGCAAGTGGATCACTAGCCCAGCAAGTTGCTTGAGGAAGCTGCGCTCTGTGTACCCCGCGGAGCTCGGCTGAGCTCCGAGCCATTCAGTGCAATTAGCGTGGCCTGGGGCGAGCGGCCCCGCAAAGCCATGGCGAAAGAGGCGCTTTTCACATGCGAGCACGGTGCTCCAAAAGTTTGCGAGGCACTCGAGGTCAGTCGCTGTTGTGCTTCTGATTGTCTGAGTAAGCTAAAAAGCGTCTCTGTAAAGCAGCTACTAGACTTGAAGCACACAAGATCAGGCGAGCTACTAGAGCCACCCACGGGATTTCCCCTTTGGGGAGTCGCCGCGGGCCTCGTGAATTCTCAAGCTCCCAGCCCAACCGCGATCAGGAATGACATTGGGTTGCAACGGAAGAACACAAGCTTTCGGAACTGGGGAAGTAGAACCTTGGGCAGCTTCCAGCTGCTCCAGATGTGTGTGTGTGTGAGAGAGAGAGNNAGAGAGAGAGAGAGAGAGAGGAGCGAACTGCCGTTAGCTGAAGCAAGAAGTACATATGCAGACACATCAGTCACATCAATGAAGACTGGTCAATGGCAAGCACGAGATCCAAGGTGACCGCCCAAGATATGTGCGCTGGAGTGCCAGAAGACATCCTGCGGGAGCAGCAGCAACGTTACGTGCCAGCTCAACCCCGAACAAACCCTGAGACTGCCCTCAGAGTAATCGGATTGCTTGTCAAGCACTCGGCAAATCTGGTGACCATGCGAAGCCCTTCGCAGCCTTGGCAGTCGTGGGAGCCTTCAGCTTCTATTTCCTTCTAATCTGTGTCCTGGCCCTGCGGGTGGTCGAACTTGAGGAGCTCCATCCTGCAGCTGCCTTCCAGGGGCCTGACCGTCGAACTCCCAGTAGGATGCACATCGCTTCTCCATAGGACATGGTCTGTCCACACACCGAGAGCTTCGGAGATTTTTTCACCCTAAACTGAACTTAGCCACACTTTGGGCCGGAACGAGTCCTGAAATCGGCTGAGAGCACCGACAGCAGGCGACCGGCTCGCTTGACTTTGAAGCGAGCCGGCCTTACGAGAGACTCGAGGGTCTTGCGACCATCATCGAATCTAGAATCTATGACTAAAACTACAGCCGTGAGCTCTTAACTCTTTCAGACTTTCTGAGCCAACAGCTTCTATTTCTAGGGCATGCTACGAAGGCCCTGATCGGGGCACCTGTCATATGCAACCGCACTCTCTGTGGCAAACCTTGGCGCGGAGGCTGAGGCTGCTGACGCGCAAATCGCCGAACTAAATCGCGCCGAACGACACTTCCTTCAACATGTTGACATATAGTGCTGAAACTTGCACATGAGCCGCGGCATCTCTCAGCCTGTGGATGGCCAAGGAGCCGCGTCATGTTGACCAGGCCGAGGAGTCCGAGTCGTCGTCACTCTCCTGCGCGAAGCACCTCTGCCAGCGCTGCAAATGAAGGCCTACAGGCCCAGAGGTTTGGCGGATCGGAAAGGCTTCAAGTCTGCGGCTTCATGGCTCAATTGTTTGTGCCGAGACAGAGTCCACAGCAAAATTAAGCAGCGCAAGAAGCTTCCTGGACCGACTTGGTTTCTTTCTCCAGAAAAGCCAGAGACAAGGGCGACAGCGCGGCAACGGCAACTAGTTCTGGGTGGGGTATTGCGAAGTTGGAGAGAGGTTGTCTTTTGGTGCCAAGCTGCGGAACCGAAAGGCAGATGTCGATGAAGAGCAAAATGTGGAACATGCAGATTGGAAGCCTGGTAGGACTTCGTTCATTCGACGAACTGAACTCTCTTGAGAGCAGCATTGGCTTGCGTGCCCAAACGATGTTTGGGAATTTTGTGAATGAGGGTGGCAAACGAAGGGGTTGGCGCAGGGTCAGCAAGCACTGCCGCATGGAATTGCCACAAGACTCGGCCCATTATCGATCGGCACGCATATCGCGACCATCATCAATGGTGAAACGCTTACACTTCTCTTCCAAGAAGCAAGATGCCAAGACGTTCTTCGAGAAAGCCTGAGAATCTGCAAAGAACGTGGGAAGGAGCACCATGATGTAATAATCGGACACTTATGCGAATGCATGCTTCCCCTCCAGAATGTATTTATTTTCGGGTAGACGGTAGACCGGATCGATTCGATTCTCCGCTCAAAATTCTGGGCAGAGGGTCGCAGACCTTCACATGATTGAATAAGACACAGCTTGCTAGTCAAACTAACATGCACCGCCCAAATTGCTTTCCAACAAACGTTCCTGACTGAACTTCGTGGGTCAGAACAAAGCCCGCCGACAACAAGCCGGTGAAAATCGCATGAAATCGTCATAGTCGTGCGATCATGGCGTTACTGGTACATAGGCCCAATCATACTCAGATATCCTGCGCAGCACGACCGCATGCAGCAGCTGCA